TGGGTGGGTCGAGCGGGTGTACAGTATTTCCCTCCCCTTCCAGAGGGATGGTACGTGTGAACCAATTTGCAGGGTTTTGATTCTGTCCCTTGCCTCCTCTGGGCAGACAGCACCCCACTTCCTTCCCCACCCACTCCATTTTGGTCTTCTTCATAGGAAATGGCTTCATTTCACTTCAGTGGAGAATGAACTGGGAGGCAGTGGGTGCTCTGACCTGGTTTCAGGGGCAGCCTGAGCTGATTGCATTCCTCTCCAAATCTTGGGCATGGTTCAAGAACCACGACTCATTGTCCACTCCTGTTCTGCTCCTCAGGAGAATAAGCTAGGGAACTAGGCCAGTATTACTCCAGCCTGTGCCACTTCTAGGTGCAAAGCTTCTAGTTTACATAATCCCCAAGTCTCTCATTCTGGAAAACAAACCATGCCAATCCATAGGAGAGGTGGGACCTCTTTTTCAATGGCAGAAGGTGACTGTTTCCAGACTGCAGCTGCCCCTTATTCCCTGATGAGTTGTTCCTTCCTGCTTCTGCAGTGGGCATGATGAACTGTTCCAGTCACCCCCTCTGCCAAGAAAGCTGCCTGCTGAGTAGGTTGCATTACCGTTCTGGTCCTGTGTTACCATCAGGAGGTTCACTCCGAACTGATGAGCAATTTACACAAAAAACAGGGTGTGCGTTTCCCGGAAAGAGTTGCATGCTTCAGATGAACCCCTTGGGGGGACTGAAAATGAACAGTGCCATTATTTTATTTTAGGGATGAAAGTGGAGATAGAAGGTCTGCCTCAGTATTTTGGAAACACCATTTTACAAGATGTATTCTCTTTACATCTGATTCTCCCATGTTTTTCTTTGTAAAATGCCTGAGCCAAGGAATCTCTTAAACATTCTGTTGAGTTTAGGTAAGTCTCAAATGAGAAGTCTCTCATCGTAAAATTTATCCTGGTCCCTTGCTGTCCTGGACAAACCATGGTGGGTGTTTCCCCATCCTTGTGAAGGGGATGCACTGTGTATGTTTGTTGTATACATTGCCACCATGCCAGTTTTGTGGGAACCCTTTGAGAGTGAGTTCAGCCTGTTCCTAAGTTGTGAGCCCTATCAGCACAAAGGCCATACCATCACCACACCAGAGGGACATCCAGACATACACAAAGCCCTAATTTTTTTCTACGCTTCAAGCATGAACACCCATATGATCATCTGCCCACCCTTTATATGTTTTGTACATGCAATAAGTTGTACACATACTAAATCTCACATGGGGTAGTTTTGCTATGCTAGACCCTTCTGTCTTTCATCAGCTTCCTGTTGTCTCTTCCTCTTAGTCCTTTGGTGGATCCAAAGACCACAGAGCAAGTTCTTCTTGGAGGAATCAACCACTTGCTTGTACCATGAACCAAGTCCAGTTGCCCAATCTCCATTGTCCAGCTCTGTTCTTTTCATCCCAGTTTTACCATGGGTCATTTCCATTCAGCAAAGACACACAATGGTGTAGCCACTGGATGCAGATGTTTGCTTGTTATGATACACAGAGTGTTGTGTGGGTCTAGTGTGAATGGGCAGAGAGACGCAATTCCCCTGCTTCCTTCCTAAAATATTTAAAGGAACAATTTTATTACTTCTATTTGTTTGTTCATCAGTGGTCATGATTGTCTTCTCCATTGCTTTGTATCAATTTTGAGAAAACCAAACTGGGTTCACTTGGGGGAGGTCACAGAGGAGTCTGGGTACTATCACTGAGGTCTGGAGCTTCCCACATCTTTGAAGGAGTTATTTTCAGAAGACTGGGAAGTCAAGATAGGTCTTCTTGCTTAATACAGTACCTCTCTGTCTGCCTAAATTCAGCTACAAAGTACTGTAACCAAACAGTGCTGTGATTTTGCTAGAATG